TTTGCCCCGTTTTCCCACGAGAATTAGAAATGTTAGCATCTCCCCCTCCCCTTGCTCCTGAGCGTACCTCTGTGTCCCCTCCCACTAAGCCCCAGCCCAGGGGTCTCCAGCCTTGGGGAGATAGGGACAGATCCCCTAGGTCAGTGGATCAGGGCTGGGCCAGAGGCAGGCGAGGCTGAAGGAGCAAGGGAGGGGCTCAGAGGGCTTCCCAGAGGAGTCAAACTGCGCACAAGTTGTCTCCTTTCTAACCTGGGTGTCAAAGGAGAAGATGCCAGGCCTCAGCTGCCGGGTCCTGCGACCCTCACCTTCCTCCCTCTCCGTTCCCTGGTTGGACTCCAGCCCCATCGCCCTCCCTCCTTCGGCAACAAGCTCTTCGCCTCAGGACCCTCGCTGACCCTTGTAGCCCGGATACCCCTTTCTCCTCTTTCCCGCGTGGTAGGCGCACACATCTCCTTCTCCTCCAGGCTCTCCGCTCTCCTCGACATCCCTGGCGAATAGCCCCCTCCATCCCATCCCCCTATATATTTCCTTTTGGCACCAAGCGCCAGCAGAGATCCCCCGCCCGTGGGCACCAGGGAGGTGTCCTGGGATCCCCGCGATGGGATAGACGGTGGGGGCCGTGATGCACCTGTCCTGCCCGACCCGCACGCCGCGGGTGCCGCAGCTCAGCTCCCCCGCCCGCTCTCCGCATCTCCCACCCCCCCTTCCCAGGCTGCCTCGCTCGGGTGACGTCAGCGCCCCGGTCCCCGCCGCAGCCGCTGCATCCTCCGTGCCCGGCCTGAGCCGGAGTCCCCCGCACCCCCGCGTTCCGCCCGGCCATGGCTGCGGTGGCACTGATGCCACTGCCGCTGCTGCTGCTGCTGCTGCTGTTGGCATCGCCGCCCGCCGCCTCCGCGCCGTCCGCCCGCGATCCCTTCGCCCCCCAGCTCGGGGACACGCAGAACTGCCAGCTGCGGTGCCGCGACCGCGACCTCGGCCCGCGGCCCTCGCAGGTGAGGCGCGTGCGGTGCCAGGTGCCAGCGGGGGACGCGTGATCTCTCCGAAGGGGGAGGCGTTGGGATGGGCTTATCTTGGATGACAGCAGGAGACTTTGGTGGTGGTGGGGTATCCTTGGGGAGGTAGGGGTCGGGAATGCGGAGATTCCTCCAGTGGAGGACGGGATGAGGTGCCCTCTGATGGGGAAGGGCTTGAGGATGCAGGTCCTTGTGATAAGGGGCTGATACCACCTCCTGGGCTCCCTCCGCACTCTGCTGCGTAAGGACCCTCCAGCACCCAACCCCCAGCTCCCTCAGGCCTGACGGTCCCCCCACCTCACTCCTCCCCTGCATCGTCTTCCCTCCCCACCCAGAGCTACAGCCCCTGCTCATACCACCACTCCCCAGGATTCAAGCCTGATCTGAGTGTGACCAAAACCCCCTCCTCTGAGCCTCCCCCTCCTCCTCCAGGTCTGAGAATCCTTCTCCATCTCTCCCCTCCTCCCTGGAGCCTAGTTGGGGGAAGGCTCATTTCTCTCCGCCTTCACTGTCCAGTTCTCTTCTCAAGCTCCCTCCCCATCTCCCTCCTCAGAGCTAAGAGCCCCCACTAATATCTGTAGCCTCTCCCAACTTCATCTCCATCTGGCTAGATTCGGTGGGGAGCGGGAAAGCCTTCCCCTGCCTCCCCTGAATGCTCCGATCCCCCCACCCTCCTCCCGCCCATCCCCATGACTTGAGCTCCGTGTCCCACCCTCCCCCAGGCGGGGCTGGAGGGCGCCTCCGAGTCTCCCTATGACAGAGCTGTTCTGATCAGCGCTTGCGAGCGTGGCTGCCGCCTCTTCTCCATCTGCCGATTCGTGGCCAGGAGCTCCAAGCCTAATGCCACCCAAACTGAGTGTGAAGCAGGTGAGGGCCCGCCGGCAGGGTGTACCAGGGTGGGAAGAGGTGACCTGGGAAGGGCCGTCCCCAGTCACCCCCTCCCACTTCCCACAGCCTGCGTGGAAGCCTATGTGAAGGAGGCAGAGCAGCAGGCCTGTAGCCATGGCTGCTGGAGCCAGCCTGCGGAGCCTGAGCCAGAGCAGAAGGTGGGCCTCCGACTGCGCCTGGGTCCCCTTTCCCAATATTCCCCCCTGCTTGACCCCATGGGAAATCTTCATTCAAAAGCAGAGACTCTGCCAGACTCTGCGTTCTTTGCCAGGCCTGCCGGGCAACCCCCATCCAGCCCCGTCATGTCTCCAGCCTTAGTTGTCACCTCTGTGACATGCAACAGTGCCCCCCCATGCCCCACCACCTTTTGAGGAATAAGTGGCAGAAAACAGCCACCGTTTATCAAATATCTGTCCTGGTTCCAGCCTGACTTCAACCTGTCCCAAATGTCTTTGTGTCACTCGGAGGCACCAGGGACAATGTCACCCCCATTTAGTGTCCAGGGGACAACCTCCCAGGTCATACACAGGGCTGTGCAAGGGGCGAGATTTGAAGCCACCAGGGCTGTGGCCACTCCTCACCTCACTCATCTTAGGCACCCCCTTCCCCTGTGATTAGCTGGTGGTCACTGTCACCTGGAGGGGCTCAGAACTGCGACTCAGAGTGGAGCAGCCTTGCCTTGCGAGCATGCACACGCTGCCTTGTGGGAGAAATAATAACGGCTCATCGATGTAGTCCAAGCAATGCTGCATCAGGGGAAACTGAGGCACAGAAAGTCATGTAGCATAGCCAGAGACCTAGGGGCTGGGACTCTGCAGAAAGCCCTTTCACCACTTCTCCCATTTTTCCTCCACCCCTTCCCAGCTTTCACTGCTGTTCAGAAAAGCTCACTGCACTGTCAGCCCTTCCGATTCAGAGCTCCCTCTTTTTCGTTTTGTTTTGTTTTGTTTCGTGTTTTGTTTCGAGATGAAGTCTTGCTCTGTTGCCCAGCCTGGAGTGCAGTGGCACAATCTCGGCTCACTGCAGCCTCCGCCTCCCTGGTTCATGTGGTTCTCCTGACTCAGCCTCCTTTGCAGCTGAGATTACAGGCACCCACCACTACAATCGGCTAATTTTTGTATTTTTAGTGGAGACAGGGTTTCATCATGTTGGCCAGGCTGATCTTGAACTCCTGACCTCAAGTGATCTTCCCACATTGGCCTCCCAAAGTGCTGGGATTACAGGCGTGAGCCACCATGCCTGGCCATTAGAGCTCTGTCTTGACGCTGTCAAAATAAGAATAATGAGGATGATGATATTTTTAGTCGTAGGGACTACTACGCATTAAGTGGCTGTGCTGTGCCAGGCACTTGGCAGGCATCCTCTAGTTGAAATTTCATGGCTACTCCATGAGGGAA